GTTTTTGGGATTGTGTTCTATGGGTCTTGTTTGTTAGCAAGGTTCTTAGATCCAACTCTCAAGGATTTCTCAACACTTAGGAACAAGAATGAAAGCTCACAAGAATCAAGATACAATTACCCCGATAATGTCGATCTTGATCAATCCCAATGCCTCTGCCAATATCCTGAGCCTCTCCCTTGAAACTACCATAAGATTCTCTGAAAATGGCTCAAAATCAGTTGGACAAAACCCTAAAATGCGAACTGCACTTATATAAACATCAACACAGCGCCATGACATTGTCCATGGTGCCATGAGGCTACGGATAGAAGAATCTGCCTGCGCCTCCAACAGGACAGCGCTGCGGCACTGCCTTCTCAGCCGTTGGGGCTTACAGTGCTCCACTTCCCTGTTTTTCATCCCCATTTCGATCCTGATGCGTCCTGGCTTGATCCCGACTCATCCTTAGCTCGTTCCGACATTGTTTTGGCTTCACCAATCCCAACGATCTTCCACTTGGAGACAAAGCGACAATTCTCTGCTTCCCACTGTATCGACAGTGTCCCATCATCTTGACACCCTCTGTCAAGGCACAATTTTGACTGCTCTATCAACGAACTAATCCACACTGCTCTCGGCCCTCCCCAAGCTTTGTCTATGATTGCCCTAAGATTGAGCAATCTTACGTGGTCTTGTCTCCCTGACGTTAGAGACATAGCCACGTGCTCCCACTCAATCTAAGTGGTCCCTGTCGCTTCCTTTCTCGATTGAATCGAACGACCTCTGAAGGAAGATTTTTCTGATGACTTGGCACTCCCACCCAAGTTTGTTGCCCTTCTAAAGATATCACCCTTGACTTCAGTACCAATTGTAGTCTTCTCTCTTGATGCACTCTCTCGCTTATACGACTTCATCAGCTCACTCATCCATCTGACAGTTGGGGTATTATCCCGACAGTCTACTGAACACCTCACTGAATGGTTCTTCTTTCCCACACTGAACTGTTCTTCTTTCCCTTTTTCTACTTCCCAGCTGTTGTACTTGAATTGATGGTAGATTCTCCTTATCTGTCCTGACTGTCATTGTTGCAGATTCTTTCAAGTCTCGCCCTGAACAATTTATAGCCCTTTGCATCCTCTGTCTCTTAGATCTCCTGGCAACCTCAAACTCAGACACATAAACAGAAGATCTCTTGTAGCCTGTCGCCACCACCGTAGATTCCCTCTTGAGCTTCCAGAAACCCTTAACAAACTCATTGTTGTAGCAATCATCATCTAGCTTCCCTACGGATAAAAAATTAAATCTCAAGCTAGGAATATACTGTTGGATCGGTATGACAACCCTAGAGGGGGGTGAATAGGGTTTAATTAAACTTTATAAACTTTTTACTACGGTGGGTCCAAATTTAAACAAATA